TAACTGTTGTAACAATTGATTATAAGAGTTATTTGTTGAGAGTATATCATCCCTATGTAACGAGTACCAGGTGTATTGTTTTAATCAGGAATAAGGCAACTGCATATCTATTGCATAGTATTAACTTAAAACTTATATAGAGTGTCACATAAAATCGATGATTTTTGATGAAGCTTGCTCATTATTAAATTCATGAATAAAATACGTAAAATAAAACAACGTTATTGTTTTTTAATTGACCCACAAATATTTGTGGTTTTCAAGAAAACTTTTCATTTGTTGTATCTTATCTTTGTGAGATTAATTTAAAATTTATTTTTCTTGAATTTTGGATTTAAGTATTTATTGCTATTATTTTTTGATATTCAGAGACTTTGACAGACACATGCTTGGGCTAGCATAAACTTACGTATCAATTTACCTATTTGTCATGAAATCAGGTTTAAATTATCCAAATATCTTTTTACATGCTTTCACCTCAACCATAACCAGCTCAATCACAACCACAGCACCTCCACCACGTTTTCTTTTGTTTTTTTATTATTTTCGTTCTTTCCAGAATGCTCCTTTTCTTAAACTGTTTCTGATTAAACTGATAAAATCTTTTTTTTATCTCTCACCTAGTATTGATGATAGTGGTAACTTTAATATCAATCCACTGAATGGCCTAATTCTGGTATCACTTACCTTGCAGTGACCAAAGTTTAAATTTTTTTCTTTTTAAATCTCTTACTTAAAATAGTAACCTTTGTGACTCGCAGAAAACTCTTATCAATTATCTGCACTCATTTATTCGTGTCTTATACTTGACTCTAACTTGTGTTCAGATCCTAGAACTTATTTCTTTTGTTTCTCAGGTAAAATTTTCGCTCAAAATGCTTATATAGTTCAACTCAAATTCCAATGTAGAATGTTTGCTGTGCTGTCATATATAATAAAAATCTCTTTTCTATCAAAACTCGGATATTTAAATCAAAATATCGGGGTTTTGATGCCAAGTCTGATAATAAAAGTTACATCAATGAAAAAACAACAAGAATTTTTCTCCTTAAATGCTATTCTCTGGTGGTTGTAACAGGATTAGATTTTTCTTTGAGTTTTTTTTTGCCCTCCGCATCCCCTCGTGCTTTTTTAAATATATGTAGGCTTTATGTACCGTTTCCAGCAAATATGTCATCGCAGAATTTTGATGGCTTTTATCAAGGGCGTGTCTAGCGGATGTCTGCAACGTCGTTGGACGTACCCAAAAAAATTAAATAAAAGTTTTTCAACTTGATTATATTGTTGAAAAAAATCTTACTATATATAACTATTAAAACCAAAACAAAACAAATTATGGAAGGTTATTTTATCTTGAACGGTTTGAAAAACAATTATCTTGAACGGTTGGAAAAAAAATTCAAAACCGGAAAACGGTTCAAATTCCAAAATATTAAAAACCGGAAAAAAGTATATCGGCTTCATAATTTTGCGATTGTTAAAAAATAATAATTACAATGTTTTGATGGAGGTTAAACTAACTTTTGAGTTAAATAACTTAGTTAGAAACTTGAATTGACATTTATTTTATTTTGTTATATAGAATTTTTTTTTTAATTTTTTCTTTCATTGATTTAAAAAAAATCAAAAAGGTTATTTCAGTTAGAACAAACTTTGGACTTCCCTTTTGACATACACCCTGAGTAGAATTTTTATTAAATTTTATTGTTTAACTATCATCAGGAGGTAAGATTAGTTAGTAACAACTAATATATATCAAAATATATCAATGGACATCCCCAGTTTTAATACAATAGACTGTGTATCATTTTAATAATTTGCATTTTAAGTAATAAATAAGGAGAGAAAAGCTTTCAAATGTGGCAAATAAATTTCGGACTTCCCCTTAGCTTTACACCCTGCTTAATTTGTGTTTTATTAAATTAATTAATTTTATTAAGGCAGATGATTAGTTCAAAATGTCGCTTAATTCACAAGTTTATATAGCATTTTAAAGAAAAAGTTAAAGAAAAGCATCATTTCCTTTAAAGTTAGGCGACCGAATATTACTTTAATTGTGTAGAACTTTTGATATCACGATATCCTTTAGATACAAAAAAGGAAGATAGAGAGTTATTACAAGTAGAACCTGTTTATAGTTGCGTCGATAAAAACTCGCAGTGGATAGCCTACCGAAAGTCGGTAGCGGAAAAATAACCAAAAGTTATTTTTTATTGGTTAAGAAATATCACATATCATAATAAAATAGCTAAATAAAGATATTTTTAAACTTCAAAGGTACAATGTCTAGTAGTGTATCGGAAGTATTAGTAACGCCAGACGCAGGTGCTACGGGTTCGAGTCCTTCCTAAGGAACATGTTTTACATTTTGATTGTTTTTTTCTATGTTTTTTAGGTTTTATTACGCTTATTAATTGAATAAATTATTTAGGGATATACGCTGGGAACAGCACAATGCATTAATAGACGCAATGGAGTGTTCATGCACTGACTGATTTAGGGATAGGCACTGAGGAATGTACATGCATTTACTAATTTAGGGATAGGCGCAGTGAAGTGTACATACAATTACTAGCTTAGGGATAGGCGCAGTGAAGTGTACATACGTTTTTACTAATATAGGGGTAGGCGCTATGGAGTGTACATGCATTGACTGAGGGTTTTGGTATGGGTGGCAGTCATTTCTATTTATTCAATGGAAAATCCTATTTAATTTTTTCCATTTTTTACGATTTTGTTTTTTAAAAATAATATGTTAAATTTTCTTCATTTTATGGTATAACAAATATTGTTTATTTTGACATGTGATATTCTCAACCAATAAAAAAAACTTTCGGTAGGATAATTTTGATTTTTCCGCTGCCGACTTTCGGTAAGCTATCCATGGCGATAAAAACTAGTATTTGTTCCTTGGTTTTCTTTGATAATCAAGAAGAAAATTTTAGACTTGTTAAGTATAATTTTAACTAGCCATATTTATCCTTTATGAGAATCATGATAATTGTAATAGGAACTATGACGAACCACATTAAAGAAAAAACTTGTTTACTTAGACTAAGTAAACAAGTTTTTTCTTTATCAGTAAAGAAAATCAGTAATATCTTTTATGAATTTACTAAGTCTTAGTATTTTTCTTTGGGTGTTATGAAATTTGAAATTGTGGCATGGATACTTTACGAAAGTTTTTTATACCTGTGGTTTTCTGTCTCAAAAAATGTCATTAATGGTGCAGCCTCTGCTACTGCTTCTTCTTCTGAAGTTAATAACAAATTTTGATTTCATTGTTGCACTGTGTATAACAAGACATGTTTTTAATATAACTTGTTTAACTAAACAATTTTGCAAGCAAGTAATTATGATAATTTTCATAGTTTAAATCTTATTCAAGCATTAAAAGATTTTGTCTCTATAGTTAGAAATATTATTAATCGACACCTCCATGCTTTAAACAAGCCTAAAAATTGCATTTCAAATTATTCTAACTTGGTTATCGCTGTTTCTTTGCTAGACTATCTGAGTTTTATCTAGATCACTGAGTTTAACACAATGGTTGATTGATACAATTTTGAAGTGTTATAAAGCACCTATGTTTTAATTTCTTCTTTCTAATATTCAGTTTCTCTTAAAAACAATTGATGAAATTCAATGTTTTGTTATATTAGTTAGGAAGACCAAATCATATGTTTTAGTGTCTTGTTTAACCGAAGGCTTTATTAGGTTTATTTATTATTTCCAAACCAAATGTTTGGAAATAATAAATAAACCTAATAAAGTTAACTGCCTGAATTTCAAAAATTAACTTGTTTTTTTTTAATTAAGTTGTTTTTTAAATAAAATTCAAATATGATAAAAGTATAATTTCAAATCTTTTAGCTGCTTTTTGTTAAACAGCTATTTTCATAGCCAGACATCTTTGTAAAAACATTTAGCAGTGAACATTTATTGCAATAAGTTTTTTGACTCTAAGTATTTATAAAGTTTATTTATAATTAAAAGTTATTTATAAAGTTATATAAAAAAATTTACACAGCAAAATCTTTTATTAATCTTGTAAATTGTTTCCACAAATCTTGTAAAAAATTTTAACATGTATATATTATACATTACAACAACTGAGTATTTTCAAAAAATAATTTTTTTAGTTTGCAAAAATCATATTTTGAGCTTTAGTTACCATTTTATCAATGTTACAAGTCATTTAAAGAATTAAAACATTTTTATAAAATACACTCAATCCGGTCAAAATCTGGTCTCCCTCCCCCACCCTAAAAAAATAGGGAGGCAGAGAGAGGCATACATTTTTTTTTGGACTTACCCAAAAAGTTTCCTGTAAACGCCCCTGTTTATAAGCATATATAGCGGTCCGCTGTAATTTTTCTCATTGGTTTATTAGTGGACTATTAGTGGCAACTACCGAAAGTGGTGAGCTAATGACTAGCCATTATATTACATGTTGAAAAGTTATCGGCTGATTACTTATAGTGGATGCTACTAGTGGTCCAGTAAATTACCTGCGAGCAAAACTTCAATGAACCGCTCAAAATACCTATAAATGGTCCACTATAAATAAATCCACTACAACAATGTTTGCTGAGTTTATGAAGGAAGCAGATCCCCTTAATATAAATTTGCTTAAATCTTTGTTATGGAACATCAATTGCAATTAAATATTATTATAAGTTAATAACTTTTTTTTTTTAGTAAAACTTTAAAAAAAAAGTAATCGAGGGCTAATTGGTTTTTTAAGCAGCCATTTTGAAAAACAAGCATTCATTTTTAAAAAAAGTTTTAACAAATGCTAGTAACTCCAAATTTTTAGAGTACTATTAACTGGGGTTTCTACCACGTTTGTGTAAATTAGATCATTTTTTTTTAAAGATATTGAATTTTTTTTTTGAAAAAGAGTAAAATAAAGTACCCAAAAAAATAAAAAAATGGACTTAAAATAAAAATTAGACTTTCATTGAGATGGAATCATTTAAAAAAGAGCTTAATGTTTATTGTAAAAATATATTTATTATTAAAATATTATGGTGAAATAAATATGCAGTACATGAATTTATACATTTTAATAATAATTTATAATGAAGTTGTCAAATAATTTCAAGTTATCATTTTTTTTTCCTGTGTGAAAAATAAATTAAATTTTAATAAGTTGAGTAAAAAAGTGTTTTTTTAACTTTTTATCTGCAAATCAACAACTTCGTGATCAGTGATGCCTCTCGTAAATATTGTTCCTCTAGATTTTCTATTACTATCTTTCTTTAACTCTGTATAAATAGATTTGCCATCTTTTCCTGTTTTAAAGTAAATGATAAATAACTTTGGTCCAATGAACGTGAGTAATAAAGAAAAAGAAAAGACAAATGACATTACAGCGAGGCTTTCTTCAAGCTGTTTGTTGAATTTACTATAAATTATGATGATTTCAACCAAACATAATAAATAAAAAACACAATACGTTTTTGCAATGTGTTTTAACTCGCCACCATTTTTCTTCATATTTGAAGACCAGCATGATATAAAATTACCAGTAATGCTTAATGCAATATTAAAACTAAATGAAGCCCACCAAACATAGCTTAACGAACTTGAACATCCAAGCCACTTTACGTCCCAAATTTCTGTTTCATTAGGAATAATTTTAATTGGGTAAATATTTAAACCAATTAATAGAATAAGAAACTGAATTAAAACTAACACAAAAATGGTAACAACTCTTGGAGAAAACATTGATTTAAGAAAAAAGAATCTATCTATACTATCGCTCACGGTTTTATATTTTTGGTTAATGTATTCGCTACGGGAAAACAACGCGCTAAATACAATTGTTATACCAAAATTGAAAAATCCTAGGTATGTTGAGCATCCAGAAACTGTTGGCTTATTTATTAGTGGTACAGAAGAAAAAAGTATGATCAGACATCCTATAAGATACCAGATTAATAACTTATAGTCGCAGAGCTTTACTATCTCGTGATTATACTTTACTGTGAATATAACAACTGCAAATAAAACAAAAACACATCCAATGAATATTAAAAAGACAACAAGCGACCCTATTCCTCCTGATGACCAGTTCAGGTTACGAAGAATGTATCTTTTACATATTGTTTTGGTTGGATTTGAAACCTCTCCTTTTTCGCATGGTATGCATTCTTTAGCATTAGTAATGTTGCTAATATACAAATTAGGGCAAACTACACATTTCCAGCAGCAACTTTCTGATTTTAATTTTTGCTTTTCGCTTACAACTATTCGCATTAATCCAGGAGAGCAATCTTCTGAACAGATGGATTTAGGAATTGATTCAGCATCGTTTTTCCATTTAATTTTGTACTTTTCAATTTTAAGTTTCGATTGGCTTGACCACGATCCGATTTTCATGACAACAAACTCGTCAGGCTTGTTTAATTGTACGTTGTAAATGGTAAATTCTTTTTCGGTTGCAGTAAGTCTATCAGTAAAATATAGCATATAAAGACGATCGTCGTAGTCTAAAAACTTTACTCTAACTGAAAGATTTCCAATAGCTTCATTTATTGATGGACTAACGTCTCTTAACTTATTCTCTAGACTAGCAACTGTAAAAACAGAGTTTAATGAATGGATAGCTTTTTGTGATTCATCTTTTAAATTTTTTAAAACTGTAGCTTCGTTATCATTGCAGAAGTACGACTTTGAAAGTGGGTTCGAAAAGCATTCGGGCAGAAATAAGTTTTTTAGCCAAGGCTTGTTGTAAGATTCTTCTCTACTCAAAGTTCCAATATAGTCTTTGAATTTCTGAATAAAATTTGCGCTGATATAAATCATACCTTCTACTACGTTTGGATAACTTTTCAATTTATTCAATTCTGTTGACCAATCCGTCGTAGTAATAATTGTCAAGTGATTAAGACCTTCAGCATTTAACATTTTATAAAATAATAACTCGCTAACCTCTGTTGCATGAACAACAAGAACTTTTACCAAAGTGTTTTTTTTAACAGTTTCAACAAGGTTTTTCATGCTTGTTTTGTCAGACAAAAAAAATTTGGAGATGCACGTTTTTACTTTGAACAATACTTCTTTTAAAACCTCATAACCTTTGTTACCTTGCAGATCATCAGATACGGCAACATGAACATACTGCCAACCAAACTCTTTAACTATAGCTGCAACAGATATCATTCTATTTGTCCTATCAGGAAAAGCGGATAATAGCATCGACATTCGTTGATCTATTTCTGAATCAGGAATATTCAACCTTGCGTTCTTTGAACTGTAGCTAATCTGAAGTATAGGTGTCGGGTCCGTAAAATATTTCAAGTTATCTATAGAATCTTTTGAAAATCTAGAAATAACTGCGCTCACTGGAAAAGGCTTCGAGCTATTTTTTTTGTAACTTATGGCTTCCTCGCTCATGTCACTACAGTGCTTGCGCTCGATAACGGCGTTGTTGCAACTATCTCGAATGTCGTAACCAATAGTGTTGGATGTATTTGTGTTGAGAAGAGTTATCGCGTAGACAATTGCTTCTGCATGTGCAATACCTAAAGCATAAAAAAAGTAAACGTTTTTAGAACAACATTTTCTTTATCAATTGACATATTAATTGCTTGACAAAACTATAAAATGTTGGATTTAAGAAATATATTCTCTATAACATTTAGTTTTAATTTCTCTATAACATTTAATTTTATATTTTTCTGTAAACTTCTTTTTAAACTTTAGCTTATTTTTTATTTTTTAATTTTTTTTCAATAATTATTTGAATATTTTATCTAGAAGAACAAAGATAACGATTACATACGTACCTTCCAAATTTGGTTTTTCACAATTACTATCGTTCTCGGACATTGGTAATATGGCGCCAATTATAATATTGCCATTCATTCGATATTGCTGACTGGAATACACCAGCTTTATGACAAAAATTAAAACCAATCGCATTTTCAGCATTTCATTTGATTACAAAGTCCGAAATCTTTGTGAAACCTATGCAGTCTTAGAAAAGAATAAAAAAAATAATCATGCAAATTATAAAATTTTGCGAAACATTCATTATTTAAGCTCAACGTAAAAATTTAACTCAGTGAAAAACAAGAAGTAGATTCACATTATTATCTAAACCAGCGGCGTAATAAGTAAAATGAACAGAAATAATCCAAATACAAATAAACGATAATGACAATAACAAAGAATTAATTTTTAAACTTTTGAATAAAAGTTAAAAAAGTTAACAAAACAATAACAATATCATTTAAAAAGAAAATAAAAATTAAAATATCACTGAGTGTTTTAGAAAAAAAAGCAATAACATCCATAATAAAAATATGCAATCCTACAAATTAAAATAATAATCTGCAATGTAATCCTATATAGCTCTGCTATAGCATGATTTATTTTTAAGGTTAGAAATACACTTGCGCTATCTTAGTTAAAGCAAAAAATTTAATAATCATTATATTAATAACAATAACAATAATAACGATAATAATAACCTTTGATAAGCGCTAAAAATAAAAGTTTACGAGAATTTATAAAAATGTATTGCATACATTGGGGAAAACAATATAATCAGTGTAAATTTACATCACTATCAAAAATTGTACTAAAAGACGTAAATAATGAATTTTACAAAACTTTGAAAAAATGCTTACAATAATATTAACTTGAGTAAAAAATTATAATGATGAGTTCGGATCTTTAGATTTGGTGAATTTAACCTGCTAAACAAAAAATATATATTTACCTTCAATACTAAAGATTTAGCCTCATACTTATCTCCAACTTTACAGTATTGTACAATAATTGTATACTGGAATTAAAAATTTAAAAAGATTTTTAAAATAGTTATTAATTTTTTAAAATACCATTTATTAATTAGTTGGAAATCACAGTATATATCTAATAGAACCACATTAGCGCCGCTCTACGACGTTTAATCCCTATTTTCAATGTTGATACTAAAGAATTATTGTTATTTTTAATTTTATTATAAAACGTTTTCAGTCGTTGTTTTTCGGAATTCTATTGTTAAATAAAATGTAATAAAACAAACTATTCAGTTATAAAATAATAATTTGCACAATAGATCATTTGAATTTAAACTTGTGAGCTTTTTTTTATCAATCATAAAGATTTCCAGAGCAAAGTTTAGCTAAAGAAACTTGAAGATAATTTTTATTCTCTATCTCGTAATGAACGCCTAATCCTAAACTATAGTCTAATAAATATTCAAAATCTCGTTTAAGTGAATTATTTCTGCTATTTTTGATTTACTTTTATTCTGTTCTATTAAATTTCCTTTTTCGAAAAATTTTTATTGTAGATTAACATCCTGACCATTAATAATGTGTTATATGTTGTTATATGTTGAAATACTAAATAAAATAACTTTTCGCAATTTAAAATAAAACAAATGCATGTCAAAACTAAGAATAGAAAGTCAAAATAATTAAAATAAAAACATATATTGTTAAAAAAACAAGGCATATATAAGTAAAAAAACAAGCGGTACTAACTTTTTCTTATAAAACAGAACATGCAGGGTAACAATTTTTTATCCATGATTAAATAATTATAAATCTATATTAATCGCATACAATAATTACAAGTATATAAAAAAACATTAAATAATCAACTACAGACAACGCATAAATAGAGCCATATAAATTTCCTCCAGGTAGAAAATGATCAACTTCAAAATGAATTGAAAAGGTTTTATAGCATCACCTGTTAGAATTTTAGAAATAGTTCACCGCTATATCATCATCTTTGTCACCGCTATGCCATTACCTTTGTCACCGCTATACCATTATCTTTATCTCAACTTTACTTTAAATTAGTTAAACGTTTTAAGATTATTTGTAAGTATTTTGTTCAATCTCTTTGGTTCTTTAATTGAGATTAAAATTTAGTTGCAGCAAAATAATATTTGGAATACATAAGGTATGCTGAAACACGTAGGTGACAGAAGTAGGTTTGCCCAGTTGAGTTTATTTAAAGCATGTCGTTGTAGTTTGGAATTATAACCCCCTAAAAACTTTAAATAGTCATAAATTTTGGTTGCTGAAAGATTAGACTATGAAATTTAAAATTTTTTGATGAATATAAGTTCAGTTGAGAAAAGTAAAAAAGTATTTTATTAACTTGTTGCTCTCACGTTTGGGGAATGTGGAAGAAAATTCTAGGAGCTCTTTTGTTCCCAGGCTCCAATCATCGTATTTTTTTGCAAAGCATCTATATTTGACATGAGTATAAACAAATAAATCTTTGGAGTTTATTTCCTGTCACTATCTATCGCTTTGTCTATTATCTACCCAGCCGGCAAATAACGTTGAAATAACGTTGAAATATCGTTGAGACCTAACGTTGAATTAACGTTGGTTTAACGTTTAGAATGAAAGTTTTTTTCAACGTTGATTTATCAACGTTAAATCAACGTTAGGTTCAAACGTTATATCAACGTTGATTCGACGCAAAAAAACGTTACAATAACGTTGAATTTACGTTGATTTAACGTTTAGAATGAAAGTTTTTTTCAACGTTGATTTATCAACGTTAAATCAACGTTAGATTCAAACGTTATATCAACGTTGAATCGACGCGAAAAAACGTTACAACAACGTTGAATTTACGTTGATTTAACGTTTAGAATGAAAGTTCTTTTCAACGTTGATTTATCAACGTTAAATCAACGTTAGATTCAAACGTTATATCAACGTTGAATCGACGCGAAAAAACGTTACAACAACGTTGAATTTACGTTGATACAACGTTTAAAATCATAGTTTTTTTAACGTTGATTTATCAACGTTAAACGACTGTAAAACACTTTTTTACCATCAAAACGTGCAATGTATGTTAAAATGTATATATGTATGTAAACGTGCTATGTGCGTCAAAATATGATCACCATCAAAACGTACTATGCATGTACATTAGTGTTGCTGTACATTATCAAGGTATATTATGGATATTAAATCTATTCATAGTCTATACTTAGACTATTTAGAACTTTTTCAGTTTAGTTTAGTTAAAATAGCTAGGTATGATTATAGAAAGAGATAAAACTTGTTTTATTCAAAAATACATATTCAAATATTACATATATTTACATGTAATTGAATAAAATCTACACAAATTTCTTCTCTTTTCCACCACCTTTTTGAAATAAAGCGTAATTTAAAAAGTCAAACAATGTTCCATTAACCGAGGGTTCTTTTGGTTCATTGAGTACAATATAAGAAGCTGTAAATAAAAAAATATATAAAAAAAAAAAAAAAGGGAAGATTTAAAAAATAAATAATGAATGGAAAAGTGTTACAACTTATGAAGGTATATCTTTTTTAATGCCATATAGATTAGTGTTCTTAAAACATATTTTTCCACCTTTGCCCTTCATATCCATGGAGGCCATATAACTTTTCGAAAATACTCTGAATTTTTAAAAAATAATATAACTGTTAGTTGGTTATTAATAACTTTTTCAAATATTTAAATAAAACCTTTTTAATATATTAAAAATAACTTAATAATCAAAATATAAAACATTTCTAACATTGAAAAATAATTTTCGGGGTGGCCACATAATATTTTTATAAGAAATTTTATGTGGCCATTTATTAATGGTTTAACGTCCATGTTTATACACTTATGGGGCTCGGACAGGGATCAAATAATGTCATTTGTTATGTTAAATAGCATGCATTTTCTAAAGCAATTTTTTACAATTCCATGCACTTTAAGGCGTTAACCAGTTTTGCAGACCAGTTTTACATCCATCAAAAATTAAAAAAGAAAGAATTAATGAGGAGCTTTGATCAAATTTTTACCTCTTTAGAGGATAATAGAGGATTTTAGAAGTGGTTTTAAAAAAAGAGGACTTTAGAGGATTTTAGAGCAGCTGCAGACACCCTGATTATAAATGAGGTAACTCCACCAATTAACTGTAATTGATTTATCTGTAAAAAAACATGAAGTAAATCTAATATTATGCTTGTGGATTTATATTATATTGTGGAGAACCATCCAAACCACACAAGTGGAAAATTTGCATCCAAGTTTCCACTTGTGTGCAAATTTTGCGTCCACTTGTCAAAAAAATAATAATTGTAATATATAGATGTAATACCTGAAGAGAATTTAGTTTTTATTTGTATAAACTTAAGCCAATTCTTCTCTGCATTTTAGTGCAGTCAATGCTTTGGTACCTGGAAGCCGACAAACAGTTTTATCACTAATCCAATTAGATGGAATTACTTCTTCTTGTAAATTTTCATTCCAAACAGCTCCTTTCCGCATATTCGATTTTGAAAAAACTACATGAACTAATATAAAATGAAGAAACCATAATATAAGTGTACTAACAGGCCTAATTAAACTAGCTAAATTTGAACATTTTATAACCATGATACTTGCTAAACAATAATATTAGTAGACATTATAAGCAAAGATAAGATTTTCTTTATTTTATAAATTTATTATATTTTAAACTCATTTTTATTAATTTATTTATTACTCTATTATTCAGCAGAGTTCTGAATATATTATGTTCAAATAACTTAAGGCTCAATAACAAAGACAAATAATGAAAGAATACTAGGTTGCTAAAACATAAACATCTACGTAAGATAATTATGGAATATTGAAAAGAAAATAGAAATACAAAAAAACAAAAATACTCATTATTAATATAAAATATAATAGTATAATATAAGGTATATTATAATATATGACACAATAATATCTACTTTTAATTAAAATATAAAAACAACAAAAATTAAAAAAGAAAATATTTTGATAAATGATAAATTATCATTCAAACAATTTTCAAGACCAAAAAATAACTTGTAACTTATTTTTGTACTTATCTTCATCTAATAAACATTACTTATTTTTTACTCATCTTCATTTAATAAACATTAATATTAATACCAATTTTAAACATTATTAGAATTTTTTTTTTATCAAAAAATAAAAATATTACATCAGTTACTTTTTTGGCTTTTCTTATTTTACTTAAAACATCAACTCAACTCTAATTTGTAATGTTGAATTAACACTGAAAAAAAAATATTAGCAGACAAAAAGAAAATATTTCTTTATTGAAATATATGTAAATATTTCAATAAAAAAGTTTTAGATTGATTTTTATAAATATAAATTTATATCAATCAATCTAAATTTTTTTCTTTTCCGCCACCTTTTCGAAATGAAGCGCATTTTTAGAAGTTAGACAAAATGCCATCAATTAAAGTTTCAGTCGCTCCATCGTATTTAGTAGAAGAAGCTGTTAATAAAAAAGAATTAGAAAAAAAAAAAAAAAAAAAAAAAAAAAGGAGAAATTTTTGAATATATAAAAAAAAGAGAATAAAAAAGTTTTACATATCTAGGTATACCTTTTACTATACCATATAAATTAGTGCTCTTAAAGCATATTTCCACCTTTCCCCTTCATATTCATGGAGGTCACAAAAATGTTGGAAAATAATTTAAATTTTAATAGATAAGAGAACTGATATTAATTGTGCGAGAACTAATATTATTATTTTTTTTTAATTTAAATTGAACTCATTATCAAACAATTTTTTTGCTAAATAATTTAATCCTTAAAATTCCTGAATAATTAAAAATTATTTTGATTACCTCAGCATTTTAAAGATATTCCATCAATTGCAATTGATTCACCTAAAAAACAACAACAAGTAAAGCTAATATTATTGTTTGAAATTTTAATTATCTTTATACAAATACTCATCATATTTTTAAAGTAACTGATAAAAATGGATTTAATTAAAATCACTTCATTTGTATTAAAAAATTAATATTAAAGCCTTAATCATACATTATACAAGAGTATTTTGTAATAC